GTATTTTAGATCGGCTGAAGTGCTCGGAGTTGGTTCTTGGGGCTCTGAGTGTTCGACTGGCGGATCAGCAGAAAGTATTCGTTGGTATAGCTGGCGACTTGCGGCATGTGCGGGATGTGTCGTGCGGTGCTGGTGCTGAGTCGCCCACCTGGCCTTGGAGCGTAAGCGTTGGCAAAGTTTCGGAGGGTCAGAGTTGCATCACCGTGTGTGTACTGTGGATTCGTAGGTGGAGCCGTGGCAGAAGCAGTATAATGAGAGCGCATCGGGGTTGATCGAGATGGAGTCGCCCGTGTAGGATTTCCTGAAGGAATTACGTGCGACTTGTGCACCGGTGTGTGCATCTGAAGGCACGTTGAGTGAGGAGTTGTATGCGTTTTGGTCGGAGTGCGCGCGAGTGTATGTGGCTTTGGCGTCGAGTGGGGAGATGAATGTGGAGAAGTAGTTTGCGTTGATTGCGGCGCCTGACCGTATGGGCGAATTAAGTGCAATTTGAGTTCGGAAAAGGAGGAATTGCGTACGAAAAGCTTTGACATCCCAACTGAAATTTTCTCTCTTTATCAACATTCTGTCCCCCTTTCGTTTCTTCTGTTGTGGATTGCGGTTTACCTTTTGGCTTCACTGGTAATAATGTCCTGCGTTGTTTGGAATTCGCACCTTTGCACTCTCGTGACAGGTCATTAGCTCGAATCCTTTGTTGTTTTCTTGCTCCCATCGGTCCGTCGTTTATTGAGACTGTTACACCTGTTTTCTGTGATAATTTTGAGGATATCACCAGTCGTTCCAAGTCCTGTTCTGTTCGGTTTGGCGCTGCATCTAAGTTAGAGATTTTAGCATAAGAAGAACAGCAAAGCAATGGTAAAATACTGGAAGGAATTCGGGGGAGCGTACCGACCAAATACGACTGTTGGATTCCAATGAAGCGTGCTCCAAGTTCCTAAATATTCTCCTGTTTCAGACTATGACTGACTCTTATCAGCTGACCTTATACGGTTGATTGATTAGACCGTCGATCGTTTTGCTTTAAATCACAGCTGACTGAATGCCTAGTCGATCGTGTGACTGTTTGCACGTTAGTTAATTGTTGCCGGCATTTCGTTTTGTTTGGACATCCGGTTTTAATTTGAGGACAGCACTATTGTACACTTGTGGTGTACAATGTCATGGTCAGCGTTTAATTTGTTGCCGTAATCCGTTTTAACAATAGCACCGTGTCACACTTCTGGTCTTGAATTCTGAATTGATCCGGGAGTCACACGTTGCTTGAATCCACCGCCGCTTTGAATGTAACAAACACTGTGCAACATTATTTTTAAAACAGCAGATATAGGATGTTTTTAGTAGTACAAAGTGAGCTGAATACGAATATACAAACCAAATGTGTCTATCACGTCGGGAATTTGAACGTTAATTTTGATTTCAGCTAAGTAGTGCTTTCCTTGCATGGAATGCTCCCCTATGATTGGTCCGTTGGCCCTCTACTCGTGATAAGAATTCCTCTTGGCCATGTAATTCACCTGATATTTAAATACGGTTGAGAGCTGTGTTTTGTTATTTAATATCTCGATCATGACTGAAAGACACTGCTGTGTCAGTAGTCGAAATCATTTTCGGTACGGCTGTGGACAGTTTACTACAAAGGCGTAGTGTAGACCCATTTCTTCACTACTGAAGTCTGCTTATCACGCATATTTCTGGATGAAACTAGGAGATCAGGATGAGCATTAGGCGCCACTTATTGTTTGTGTGTCGTGCAATCTCCATCGAGCTTTAGTAGCACAAGTGCAAAGACAAGACCCTTTTGTAGACCCATGATGTGGAGGCGGTCGAAACATTACACGACCGACTGCAGCTTCTGCCTAACCAGGGTTTTTGGATTCTCCAACTGAAACAAGGACAAAATACATTACCTCGCTCTTCCATCAACAATTCTACCTGTTCCTCTTTATTGCCCTTTACCCATTCCTGTGCCTCCAGTGAACATGTTATTGATGATGAGTAGTGATTTCGCATCGTCAACTTCCCCTGATATTGACATCTGTGAAAAATTTGAAGCTGATGTTGTCAACCCATCTGTTATGGAACAGTCAGATCTGAATGACTTTGTACGTGACCTGAGCTTACCTAAAGGCAAGGCCGAGTTGTTGGCATCTCGGCTGCAGCAGTGACACTTACTTGTCGCAAACGTCGTGTTAAATTGCTCGGTTTCTATGACAGGAGAGAAACCTTTTGTTACTGTTCCGCCCTGGATGGACTGATGAAGGAGCTTTGTATGAGACTTCTCAGTGATGAATGAGGTATGTGCATTGAGTCCCCCAAGAGCAGTCTTAAGGCCATACTGATACACAACGAAAATGTGTACCCAAATGTGCCTCTGTTGAATGTTACCAATATGAAGGAGCCATTCGAAAGTATGCAACAGAAACTTGCTGTACTGAACTACGATAAGTACTGTTGGATCATCTGTGCTGACTTCAAAGTCATTCGACTCTTAATGGTTCGGCAAGGAGGCTCCATGAAATATTGCTATTTCTTGTGCTTATAAGACAGTAAAGCAAATTAACAGCACTACACTACTGAATAGTAGCCAGAGTGGAAGGAGTATGCTGCAGAGAAAATGAGTGTAAAGCATGCACCTCTTATGTTACCTGATCATATGTGTCTACCACCCTTACATCTCAAGCTTGGTTTGATTAAAAAGATCGTTAAAGCCCTCAAGTGAAAGGAGTTTGTGTTCCAGTAACAGAAGCCAAGTGCTTCCGAAGCTCAGTGATGCGAAGCTAAAAATAAGGAAAAGTTATTTGACCCCTTTGTTTTCCGGATACTTGCAGACAGTATTTAAGAATGCCAGTTGACTTCACTTGACTTAGAAGCGTGGCGATACTTCAAGGCTGTATATACAGGACTTTTGGACGGAAAAAATGCAGCGAACTACGACGGCACCACAAAAGCTCATTGCGGACTATCGCGCTGTTAATTCTCCAACGTCACCCAACATGCACTTTTCGCATCATTTTCTTGACTTTTCCCCGAGTACTTTGGATCTGTTAGCGATGAGCATGGTGAGCGTTTTCCCCAAAACATTTCAGAGTACCGCTACAGTGGAATGTACACGGTTTCTTTTCTACGCGACTTTTGCTGGTTTCTGCAGCATGAGGGCGCTGTATCATACAAGCGACGATCTCAAAGAAGTCCTCATTTCTCTGTGCCAAGCTGCAGTCAGTAGCTAGCGGCGAGTGTGTTGCAGGGATGTTTAAAATCTATTTGCTACATAGATGCATCCTGTATATGCCGTTATTCAATACATTTACCTGTCATTCGTACAACGTAGCCTTAACATTGCTGAAAAGACTCATGTGTTTAAAACAAATGCTACGTAACTTTGGAATGCATTTCTGTCTATAAGGGTTGGACACTTACATTTCTGATTACAGAAGAGTAGTAGGGGGAGTTGAATGGTATAGGTAGAATTTCGTCACATCTAGGCTCACTCAGACAGCCGCCACTAGCCCGGAAAAGCACTGTACGCGCGTTTCATCCTTTCGGGAATCATCAGCTACCCTGCCCTCTGCACGGCAGTAACGTGTAAGTCAGTGGATAGTGAGCGGCGCTATATCACATCTAGTAACTTATTCACGATGGTCGTTGCTGTCCCCCGTAGCTCAGTGGTCTCAACCACGGACTGGCAACAGTCGAGTTGCGGTTTCGAGCCCTGCCAAGGGTCCGATGGAATGCGCATTGCTGACGGTTCCCGAAAGGATGAAACGCGCGTACAGTGCTTTTCCGGGCTTGGGCGGCTGTCTGAGTGAGCCTAAATGTGACGAAATTCTACTTACATTTCTGTTATAGAAGTTAAAAATATTTTTGCTGCACAGTGTAAAGTAGAAACTTCCTCAAGTATAAGCGATAGGAAAATTATTATTCAAATGGGGGACAAAATAAATTGGAAAACAATAGCAAATGTCCAAATTTACGATTTATTCATCTCTTGTAAACACATCTCATTGATGCAATTGAATATAAGAGACGAAGCAATACAGGAAAGTCAAAGATGTGGCTCTGTTACCTAACCCACAAATGTTCTCACCCTTCTGCTATTCCAGGAGTAATGCTCCGATATGATTATTCGTAGAGAATGGGAATATGCTACGGCAAATAGTGTGAGAATTATGTACGCAAATATACAACAAGAAAATATAACACTTTTATTTCGTGCCCAAGAGAGCGAGTCGTCCTTTTAGGTAAAATGACACAAGAACCAGAAATTTTATTTTTTCCTATTCCTTTGCGCCAGAGGAATTCACATGAATCGTACAACCAGTAGCATGTCATAAGTTAACAAAAAAGCTACTACGTTGTCAGCATAATCTAACACGCTTTCATCTCTGGTTCTCATTAGCGTTATACCCTAGGAGGATAGCTTTCACATTCAGAAACCCTGATCTATTTTATTACATATTGCCCAAGGCGATTAAACGTGCTTTCTTTCAGATTAACATTCTATTCTCGGCTAATCATGCACTCGTGTCTTGTTCTCTGAAGGAAATGGAAAACAGCTCTTAGCATCTCTGGTTACATAAGAGTTAGACTACGTGTAGAACGTATCCAAGCTTATGTGGAAAGTTATTACATTAGTCATCATCACAATGAGACCAAATCTTTGGCAATCTTTACAATGAAATGAATACGTGATAAACCAACTGGCCCCAGAAATGCTTTAAAATACTTCGTTTACAGGTTTTAATAGCGGTTACTTTAACAACATTAAAGTTAATCGGACTGAACTTTCCCCTTTCACGTTTTGTATTTAATGGGTAGCGGACGTACGCAACCTTGATGCCTAATAGTTAACGCTTTTAATATAATGCATTGGGTTACCACAATTTCCCTGTCTGTCTGTACTTACCTTTGATGTTCGGACATAGACCACAATCTATCTGGTACAATTTCATTGGCTACAAAGCTAACCTGGAGTATAAAAATCCTTTTTTGTCACGGCTCAGCTCGTTTTCAGGGAAATAGTCGCTTCGGTAAGTGAAACACAGCGAGCACATTGATACTGAATCTGTTTTTTGCGTGTCCTTAGGCATCCCAGTTTAGTTACTCGTGTATACCTAAGTAAAAGGAAATATTAGGTAGCTTCGTGTAGTTTTGCTTACGTAGATTCTGTTTAAATATGAATACTGAGTACTTAACAAGCAGAACTAAATATGAGCATTGAAGTACATTTATTGCGGTTAGTTTAGTTATAGCCAATTTTATTTTTATTATTAGTAATACGGGTTATACATATCGAGTCATTTATTTAGGTAGGGCATATTCTTCTGTTCTAGTTTATATAACTCAGCTTCGTTTGGTCGTAGCAATATTATATCTGTTTAATCCTGACTTCAGTGTCTGAGCCGCTATGTGGAACACTATTAGCCTGAAGGTAGTCAGCAGTATACCACAGATTTGCAGTTGTGCCGTCTTTTAGTTCCTTTCACTGGTTAAATTCATAGCATGTTCTCTTCGATGACGGTACTATAATTTATGTGACCTGCAAAATGTTATGGCAATTGCAACACTTTTGCTCTTATAATTTCGGCACTTATCATAGACGAACGTAAACGGATTTGTTCTTCCGTATTCGGTATGTGATGGTGCACTAAAATACCCTTCATAAAAGTTTTGATTTTTCAATCCCAGAGTTGTCACAATTTAGCCCACGTTTAACCGTTAACTAGTTCGTTGTAAGATAGGTAGGAGGTCAGAATAATGAGAATGACAGAAACTCGTGGGTGAATCAATCTAGCCAATGATGCACACTAAACAGATGCTGGTCATCTAGTGGGTGGCTAGTCTTACTTCCTGTACGGTTGCAAATTGTGATGAATCAATTAGCGCGTCTCAACGTTTTGAGTCCCCTATTCCTTCACAAAAGCACACTAAGGATGATACGAAAAAGCGTAAATTGATCATCTGTTTCGTCGCGAGTTTTGTTACATTTCCCCGACCGAAATTCTCTGTGAGTGAACACCTTGGAAAATGTGAACAATGTAACGGAACTAGTAATTTAGAAGTAACCATCGAAAACACCGATTGATATAAAATAAAGAACGGTTGCATCGGTGTGGTTATTGACTGGTCGACACGTTAACGATCAATTGTACTAATAGCTCCACGTCTATAGATCATATATAACTGCTAAATTTTCCATCTCATCTCTTGTCTACTAGTTTCTTTCTTGCAGTTGCTGGGAAAATCCACTTCACAACTCTTTGCCTGAGGGTACTTAGTTTCGCTCTTGTAATATACAAAAGTCAACTGAGTCAGTCAACTAAAACAATCAGTTAGCCTGCTATCATTTTGATTTTACGAAAAGCTCCTCCCTTTCTAGCGATAAAAGAAGTCGCTCAAAATACACATTGAGACAACACAAGTTCTTGCTTTAAACACAACCCTGAGACTGATACTTACTTATATGCCCCAAGGTGTGATAATTGACTATTTTAAGTGGAGCCAACTAGTTAATAGATAGGTGTTTTATAGTGCTTGGAAAGTTGTTGGCAGCGGTGATACCCGAAGTTACAGGTAGTGGATTCACAGAAACCTCCAGTGCTGTTCTGAGGGGTACAAGGGCGGGTATTTAAAGGGGGAATTAAGAGACACGACATATTTTAGCCTATCAGTGTTGTAATGTTAACCGCAACACTTGACCTGTGATACAAAATGGAACTGCATGTTAAACGACTTGTACCCATACCACTTATTTTAATTTGTGCTCTAGAATATCATGGCTCGCCTGCTTACAGTTCATCTACAACACCATGGTTCACTATTTCAAGAAGCACACAGTTACAGTTGGGCGTCAGAAAGTGATATATCACTGTTTTCTTTCCGTCATCTTCTATTTTCACCTTGCAAGGAAATGCAGGTCCGTTGGATCATACTGGTGAGCATCATGCTGTACGATTCAGGCTTGTTAAATTCAAAGGTCGTTTATGCTCGCCACTTTGTTTACGAACCGTACAACTATGTCCAGCATCAAAGCACCAATCCTTATGCGTCATACAACAAACGTGGCCCCGAACTTTTTATCAGTCGCTTGACCGGATCACGTCCAAGGAGATATAGTTGGGATGAGCAACAAGACAGCAAAGGAATGGAGTAACTATTTATCCAATTGTCTTTTCCATTATTGCCTGGAACATTGACCACGGCAGCTTCCATGTGCATTTACTATTTCGTGCCTCTTGGCTACAATGATAAAGCATATCTAAATGCGGTTGCTCTCTCTTGCCTTCATCTACTCTCGGGTTTTCCTTATCAGAAATGGGTGTTGAAGTAGTTAATACTTCTCTCAGACGGTTTATTCTCAGGAGAGGGATCACTGTTTCCACTTCCTATTCTTCATAGTGATTCATTTATATTCGATCGCCTGCTCTTATCTTCAGTTTGTAAGTCGAGATGGAGGGGCAGGAGGACCAAAAATAGTTTGTAACACAGAAATGGGGAAACGACTCCATATTTCCACTTCCTCTTGAAACTCACATGTCAAAGTTCTACGAAGCAAAACAGGATAAAACTCACCAACTTTCAACGATGTATAGTATATTTTTTGTGCAAATATTCACAAAGGTTTACCGGGATGTCCATGACTAATAATGAATGGAATAATGAGTGCGTGCCTCTCTAAGTAACCTGATTTCCGACCTACCAGATTTTAGAATATTTCGCAAGCCGTATCTAAATAGCTCATGAAGTTCTCTCACAGAGGCAACCATCAGCAATACGTCGACACACTGTACCGACGCTACGCTGCCACGCGACCACCAGTGGTTTCGCGTGCGCTGAGTCTACCGAAAGGATCCTGCCCTTACGCGGATTCGAACCAAGGACCTAAGAATTGTAAGCTAGGCGTGAAATGGTTTCAAACACTGGCTCATATTGGTACCTACTGTATTCTGTTTTAAATTGATAAACGCACTCCAACAAGAATGGATGAAGTGTTAAAACTAGGATTTATGGGATGTTTGTACTATGGTGACTTGTGCTATTTGCATTGCAAAACTATATTTAACAGTGCAATAACCAATATTGGCTTTTGGACTTGACAGGCTTTACAACTGTAAGTGAAATTGAAGGCATCTGGATCGTAAATTTTTCAAGGGGAAACGGCAACTAGAAATAGGAGTTAAACTGTATTATGCGAGCTTTTGTCTAAATGAACAACTGTAATGTATCTAATCTTTGACAGTGGGAATCGTCTTTCTGTCCCATTAAGCCGAGCATACATCACCCTATGTTACACGAGACTCTGAGACTAAGCTGTCATGCAGTAGTGAGCGGTTGCCTGCGTTGTACTCCGATATAAATGTGACCTTAATTTTCATCATTAGCAACGTCGTTGTTCTCAGGTGGAGTTGTGATAAATGGAATACGCATGATACAAAGAAACCAACAACATGATCATCGGGAATTACGCTCTGTCCCCAGAAGTCAAATGATGTGATTTTGGAGTATTGCTGCACTGGCACATAACCACTCACCTGAAAGTTTAGTTAGCACTTTGGAATGTTTTCTAAAACTATCATTATTCTGTAGCACAAGATACAGTTACCCAAGTTGCTTATAACGTAGGTAATCAATTTTATTGGCCGATTACTTAGGTGCCAAATATTGAACACTGGATGCCGTATTATGGAAGAAAAGAGATGCAAAACCGTACAATTCTACCGAAGTACATGTGTTTACGTGGTGTGCTTGTAACTATCCCGCTAACCATGAGTTCTTCGATAGTTAACACAAGATCCAGTATCGACGGCTTGTTAGCAGTTCAAAATCTGGTGGGAAAGGTTACGTGGTTGTGAAGAGGGTGGCTAGCAATTAGCTCTTGCAAGCAGGCTTTTAACCGCATACCGTCGCTTGCCGACATTTCTATGTCGTGCACGTTAAAGTCTCCCGCGATAAGAATGTTGGTGTAGGACTTAATCAAAGGAAACTGAAAAAATTGGTTCATTTTGAAGTCCATTTCCAACGTTGAGTTTGGTGGGCGATAAATCACGGCTAGTAGACATGTGTCCTTGTTTCACAATCATAGGTGGCACCACAGCGAATCGGGAGCTCGGATTTCCGGGTGATCGATAACTTCACATCGGAGGTTTGTATAATAGTAAAGAATCACACCGCCACCCCTTCCGGTTCTATCTGTCCGAAGTAGCGACATACCGGGTAAATTGATCTCAGAAGCGGTTATCTCAGGGTTTAATCATGTCTCCGTAATCATGACGACGTCCCGCGGTTGTGAGACATGGAGTTCTCTAAGTTCGGCCAATTTGCTTGGAAAGCCTTGCGCGTTTGCGTACATGCAAGATAGGGCTTTTGTTGTTAGGAGTTCATTGATGGATGTCAACTTTGTGTTAGTATTTAAGCCGGCCGTTAGGTGGCCGGCCGTTATTCGTTTTTTGGTTTATGTATTTCAGTCATGTTGCATGGCATTATTGAGCGTTCCTGAACCGTCGTTTCACCCGTGCTTTGCACTGTCCTCATGTGTGCCGTGGGCGCTGTTGTGTCGGTCTCTCCGCAAGACTGTGCAAATAAAGAATTTATTGTGTTCGCACATTCCATTGAATTGCTTCCGACTTTTGGTCGTTCGCCTGCTGCCTTTAGCCTGATCTCTGTTGGCAACCTACCTCGAAACTTTAACCAGCTATCCAACAGAACTTGCATCATTCCCTCGGAGTGTAGTATTATTTTCATTAACCTTGGACCGCAGCCCTTATAGTTAAGTGATGACGAAACTCTTGTCAGGGATTTGGCAATAACATTGTCAACAGGGAGTGCTTCGCGGATGTAGCACCACTGTTCTCGGTCATGTGCATCGTGATCAGAAGAATGCAGAAGCTCGGGAACACCATGAACAAATATTGTTTTCTTGCTATCCCTATTAGCAATGCCGCTTTGCTCAACTGCTTCTTTTGGGCAATCATTCCTAGGTAGATCAGGTAATATGTGCACTCCGCTCGGTGAGTTGCGAAGACGAACTGCTGAGAGCAGGACAGCCTCTGTCTCATCTGTTGAGTTTAGTGTTACTCGAAGAATTCGAAGTTCACCAGAGTGCACTGAGGTCGGGTGACGCGCTACGCGTTTCAGCATTGCAGGCTCAACCCGAATCCCAATCGCATCGCAAATGGAACGCCACTGGTTGCGATCGTCTTGCTACTTGCCTTTTATTGTGCCAGATTTGGATTCGGAAACATTAGTGCACAAGAGAATTAACGCAGCGTGGTTTTGTCTAGCGAGTGTTGGCTTTATACTTTTGGCCGACAATTCGGGTTATTTAGAAGGCACCACTGGAGCTGACGGTGAAAGCTGCTTTGCGCCACGCTTGCTCGGTACAGAAGATGGAACTATTAGTGTCGCTCCCAGTATGTTTGTCAAGGCAATCGATGCGTACGTTACCTGCTTGTTGTCTGCAGTGGATTTCCTTCGGCTCTGAGCTGTCGGTGTCATGACTGAATCTCCAAGTGAAGCCTCTATGGTTGGTGAAGTGGAAGCGGGCATGTTTGAGGCTTGTCCACTTATGGGAGTGAGGTGACCCAGTGAGTTTAGAGTCACAGACGCTGCAGTGCGGTCGGAGCGTCTAGCTCTTTTCTTCGGTTTAGAATCAGAGCGTACTTTGGCCGGGTGATATATTGTCGTGGCCATATTTAACTCTGATGGAGCGATTTTAGTATTGGCAAATTGCGCGATTATTTCAAACATCCTATCGCATTTTTTCATGAGCAAAGATAAACAGTTGACAAGTGGAATGCCTTGACATGTTGGGCAAAACCAAATTGTGTCGGCAACTTGGTTTGTCTGTCTCACTTCTTGGACAGATTTGCCTGCACATTGCGGACAGTACGATCTAATGCAGCTAGAACAGGTAATACTGATCTTAAGCAGTTTACTGCAGTTGTCTGCGCAACATAGACGACGTTGAACCATTAGAATGCTAGTCGTCCTCTTATTCTACGTCCTCCATTCAACGACGATCCCAGTCTCGATGCACAGCCTAATATTTTTCTGTTCTACGTACATGCTGTTGATTTAATGGTTTTTTTTGAGTTTTCGGTTGATTTGATTGGAACAATGGAACAATGCTATCATACGGATAAAAATGCCAAGATCTGACAAGTTCTGTGGGATGGTTTATAGGGATAACGTTAGTTCAGTGAAGTTACACAAAAGAGAAAAACGCATCTGTGAACACACTATATTTTCCATGTTAGCACATAGGTATATCCATCTACCATTATGCCCTTAAACTAGGTCATTTTAAGCTGGATAAATTTCATACCAATTTATTTGGTTCGTTCTGTCTACATGAATAACCTTTTATATATTGCACACGTTACATCCGCTAACTGAGGTTTTCTTCGTTAACTTTATCGCGTTTGTAGCACTTATTGAATAACTTGTAAACAATTTGTACTTATCGCGGATGCATTGCTAATCAACTTATTTCATATGCTAATTTAACGAATATTTGTGTAGGTATATTCGTATGCTTTAACAGATATATTTTAATTGATCATGTCATTTCAAGTGATTAGTTATTATTTGACATCCCCGCTGTGGGTGTGCTTGATGTGCATTTTGACAATGTGCCTACCTGTGTATTACCTACTAACTCATTCATACTGGCTCCAGGAGACAGTTGGTCGTTACAGTAGGGAACGGGGTGCACGGTCCGTGTGGCCGTGTTAGGCTCGAAGAATTGTTCCATGCATTCAGTGTGGAGCGGACTACGGTCCAGTCACCACCTTGTGTGCGCTTGATTCCCAAATACAGCGTGCTTGTTTTTGCCTGTGAAGCATTGTGGGCCCACACCGTTGGTGAAACGTGGCTCCCATCCACATGCCTCCCGGTCTTATTCTTTCGGGTATCCACTGGATATGGAGTGTGTGGTTGGAGCTGTGGTTGGTGCATCACAGGCCCCCATGGTTTCTCTGTAGGCGCAAGCGTCCTGTGACTGGTCACAGTGACTGTCAAATGCTAAACCGGATGCCGTCAACGATATCCGTCCACTCTGCTTACCTAGGGTTGGTGAGAACAATCTTTATCTGAGACTTGTCATCACTCAATGTATAGAAATCAGCTCAAGTAATGTAGATGGTGCAAAGTATAGTCAGTCGTTTTTAATGGGTAGCGTGGGCTCGCAAATGACAAAAATCAAAAGAGTGTAACACGCTTGAAA